TTACATATATTATACATTTTATATATTAAAAAACCCATTAAAAATTTAGAAACACTCTACATACATTTTAACATGGAGCATGCTCGAACTTGTGCCTCCTCCGCAATGGGCAAGGTTACAAGCCAATTGATCCACTGCACCTGTTTTATCAAAGTACTACACAACATTATATTTATTCATTTGGATTGACCCAGCAGTTTGAATGATTGAACCGGTTAAACTGGTTAAACCGACTAAACCGGGAACCGAAAGTCAAAACGGTTTAACCTCCAGGTCGGTTGTTAAAACTTTGGGTGCAAACTAATAAAAATTAATTTACAGAAAAAACACTAATAAATTCAGAAATTGAAACCTTCTTGAGTGCTTCAGCCTCTTCTAATGCTTTTTGTGCCTCGTCTACCATCCCCTTCTCACCTAAACAACAATAGGAGAGCAAGAGAGACTATTAATAAAACACAGATAAGTACATCATGTATTCTTGAAAACTTTGTACAACACAATTCAATAAAACACAGATAAGTACAGTTTTCAAACAAATCAAATAGATTTCCAAATAACTAAAATCCAAATCCCAAGGAACCGTTTCTTAATACAACTGCCAGCCTTTTTCATAGATATCAATTAGAAAGACTATCGATTTTGGGCTAACATTATGGACAAGAAGCCATTTCATTCAAGAGCAAGTCTTCAGTTTATCGATTTATGAGTTTCATTATAATTTCATCTTTATCATTCAGAGATATTTGGGTAACTAAAATTTTTTAATAGCCTTTCTGTATATTTTAAATGAAACCACCCTAAAAGCATTGTTGATGCAAGGCACTGAGTGTTAATTGAAAAAACAGTAAAGCACTGAGTCTATTGACCATTGACAATTATTTTGGAAGGGCAGGGGAAACAAATTTTCTGACATTAACATTTTTTTTATAGGAAAAAAGGCAAAAGCACAAACAGGAAGAAACATAAATTGGCATAATAAATACCTCAGAAACAACTTACGGATTACTGCTATTCCATTTCTAGGAATTTAAAGACAATGGAGCATTAAAAAAATGTTATTTAAGACATGCTACCTAATAGATATCTATCATCAAGAACTCAATATGTTTTTCTCCTTGTTTTACATACATAAAAAACGGAGTTCAGGTAACCTGAGTCTTACCAAGATCCTCAGCTTTCTTCAGCTTCTCATTTATCATTTCCTGGATCCGAGAATCAGGTGCAGGCACAGGCAGTGGTGCCAAAGAAAACGGGTTTGGCAATGGTTGGGGCAAAGATGCCAGATCTTTCTTGAATGCATCCAAAAGCAGTGTTGACTATAACAATAAACAGAAACATCATAAATATCAAGAGACTAAATGTTATACAAGAATCAAATTATAAGGAACTTAATACACAGTAGTTATCAGAAATCCTGATATGAATAAATCAATACTTTCAGAGACCCATTTCAAATCCTACATCTAAAGAAGCTATCAAGTACCTGTTTGTCTGCTCCTTTAGTTCTAAGCTCTTCTACTTCTTCTAGAGCTTATATTTTAAGATTTGTCTTGCCTTCCAGATCTGCAAATCAAAAAGAAATCATGTACACCCCAAAGCTAATCATAAAATTTACGCAATTCATCCACAATAAATATTAAGACAAAGGACAAAGAAAATATTATGCAACATAATTGTTGTATGTACAACATTTAGCACTATAAACAAAGCACTTGTAAAAAGGCTTCAAAAATCAAACATGATATGGATTACTGGAAAGTCATCAAGTCAAGCAATGTAATGTTACGGATTTGATATAATCACTGAAACCAATCATATATTAAACTCCCTAACAAGAGAAATTTCTCAAGAATTCTCAAAAACTCATTTACAAAGGCCATGACAAAAGTGAAAGTGTGACACATCATTACTTTGTCGTGCTAATCTGCTATTTAAAGGCACCAAATGATGTGAACGGTTCACCATTCTTTGGTACCATTGTCCAGGTCCTCCAGAACATGCTAGGAGACATAGCCTTTGCCTGAATTCAACCATATTGATTTAATCTTAACCATCCAAACATATCAACCAGACAAATGGATATTCTGAGGCAGTCTCCTCACTCTAAAAATACTGATTGAATCATTTCATTATTCTTTTTATAACAAATTAAACACCTTAGAGTTGAAATAATGGGGAAAGCAGTCAAACTCCAACTATGGTTATCCCCCTGTAGCATAAAATCAAAATCTTAAAATTTATGAAATCTATTGAACCTACGAATAAAAACTTCACAATAATTGACAGCACCCTAAATCAATTAATTCAAAGAAGAATAACTGAGTTAGATCAAAGAAAACAAATCAGGTACTCATCATCAATTGGCAAGGTAGAAAATGCATCTTTGTTCCAATTCAAGAGTCACGCCTCGTACATACATATAAACCTCAATAGAAAATACTAGCAACATGCCCGACCCCCACCCCCTCTTTTTATACATAACCTTCGAAAGGCAATTTGAAAATAAGGAATTCAAGCGTAAAAGTGAAATAAAGTCTCAAACTCAGCATCAAAAGTAGATAGATTTCAACAAAAATCAAAACATAAAAGCTTAACTACTAACATACGAAGCAAGATGCTTCTTATGTTACTTTAACTTTCAAAAAGAAAAAAAAAGGATGAATAAATAAAAATTTTCTCAAAAGAAAAAATCTTAGGTGATAACTTAGAGACGGCCCTGAAAAAAACAAAAAAAAGAGAAGCTAGTGCAAAAATATGATACCATATTGATCAACTTCTTTCAGTTTCTTCTTAATTTGCTTTGAAAGCTCTAGTACTTCTGGTGTCTGTAACATCAACATAGAAAATAAATAAATCTGTAAGTCCCAAGTGCAAGAAAGGTCAGACAGATAAAATTACGACTTATCCAAAACCTGAGTAACTTCAGAGATTGATATAGCAGTAGTGGCCTTTGCATCCTCATCTTCAAGATGCTTGAGAGCTCTACCAATTTTCCTATCACACTCAACAATGAGCCTGTCAATAGCATCTTCCAACTCTCTATCATAACTATCGATGCCTTTTGCCTTAGCTTCTTCCAATTTGGATATGAATCATTTAACAATTAACGAATCATAAAGAAAAGATTAAAAAAAATTAAGGAATCAATCAGGAGAATACCGTTAATTGGAAGAGTTCGTGAGGCCAAAGGCTAGATAAGTAGAGGCGGCACACATCGCGATCGTAGTACTTCCGATTCACCTCCCTTACGTCGCCAATACGGTACGCACCCATCAGCAGATCGAGCTGCTTCCGAAGTGTTACTGCACTTCCTAAAATGACTTGGTATTGATACTTACGGTTACAGAGTGGTCATGAATCTGAAAAGCCCAATGCTAATG